TCCCAATGGCGTCACACAAAGAAGTAAGATATGTCATGGCATTTGATATTTGCTATTAGTTTCTTACAAAAAAATTCATCATTAGATAATGTTTTTTCCGCCTTTTTTTAGACTGAACCGAGCGAGAAGAGTTCTGAATCTGATTCAAACTCAAACGACCTACGTCATTACACCGAAGGATTAGTCTTAACAGCAGACAATTTCGAGTATTTTCCGGCTGAAACAATTCAGAAATTGATTAGGAGAAAGCATGATGCTGGTTTGTTGAGATTGACCACAGTCGACGCACGATTTGAGCCGATGGTACGGGAAGTGTTTGCAAAAAGATATGCTGACCAATATTTCCTGATCGAAGGAGAGAGCGAACGACACCGAAACATTTATTTTGAGCTATTCAATCTCTTTGGTGACAGCATAAGAGCAATTGAAGCGAACGGCTTCCAAAACATCGATGACAACCATTGGCTAATTCAACTATTGGATAAACACACGCCGAATCTGGAAAAATTGTGCTTTAAGAAATGTTACTTTAAAAATGTCGATGATTTTTTGTCGCGACATACAAATATCACACATTTGACGCTTCGCAATGGATCCTGTGGGTGGAAACATCAGATTCAATTACCTGATTACCGTAATTTAAAGTCATTAGAGCTGGTTGATTTTTCGCATATATCCAAACTATCCCTGGAGCAAGTGCTTTTGCATAATCCACAAATAGGACGATTGGTTCTCACATTTTGTGATCAACAATTCACTTTGTCAAACATGATGGCACTCGTTTGCACACATTTAAAACATTTGAAAGACCTGGATATATTAGATACTTACGCATTTGGAATAGATTTTTCAATTGTCGGACATATGTCATTTGTGATTGTCCAAATTCCCACCTATTCACTTGGAATGATATACATGGAAGATTTTAAAAGTGGTTTGTTGGAACGTGTTAGTTCCGACTATAAAAGTATCAAACACTTAGAGCTATTTAACTACCATGGGCGTTTCAATAAGGGATTGATCGATGCAGTTGGCTCGTTTGACCAAATTGAAACCCTTTCTGCGTCTTATTATTGTGATCAAAAACAGCTCGAGGTTATTATTGAAAATTTGCCGAATTTACGATGTTTGTCTATTTCACGTATAATTCATAGGACAAACGCTCACATTCTATCGATCTTAAGTAAATGTACACATTTGGAGAAAATTGTGATCGACTCTGGAAGATCTTCAGCCAACAATGATGATGAGTCAATGTACAGGAAAAATTCACATTTTCATGAAGAATTTATCAAGGCCATCAAAAATCAACATATTACATTGGAGTTGACGGAAAACGATGAATTCATTGGGATCATAACAAAAGAACAAATCATTTGGAGGAATAAGCTATTACATTGGGTTGGCTACGATCCAATTCACAGTCGCTCCGATTTGCGATTGTTGGATTTGGCCACAATTCCGGAAGGATCCACCGGTAAACATAAACAGCCGCTCAATTTGATTTTCAATTATTTGGACTTGGATGGCCTTTACTCCTTCTCTATGGCTAGTAGAGAGTGTAAACAACTGGTTCACGGTTACATTTACCAACGTTGTAAACAATCCTCCAAGAAACGTCCGAAACAACGTTCCATTGACCGAGAGAAATTTGTTTTGACAGACGAATTTGGCATGAATTACAATGGATTGCGGATGTTTGGAAAAAATATCAGATATTTGGAGGTTCAAAATATCAGATATTTGGATTACAGCCCTCAAGGCCTACTGAAAGAAATCGAAACATATTGCAAACTTCTCACAAAGCTATGTTTCCATACACGAAATCGAATTGATCCGCACACCTTTATTTTACCCCAAGTGAGACACTTTGTCTTTTACGGCTATGGTGAAGAGAACTTATTCCATTGTGATTTGAGTGATCTATCAGAAAAATGTCCAAATTTAGAAATATTAGAAATTAGAACTGTGGCTAAGCTCTATACCGGACATTACAAAAAGGGAAGAATTTTATTTAAAAATTTACAGATGATCAAGTTCAAACCTTTTGATGACTCACAAGTAGAATATGCTAAAGATTTATTCAAAAACTCTGGTACTGAAGTTGTGATTGATTGTTAATCGTTTGTTATGAATTTTGAATATTTTTGACCGAATAAATTCACTTATGTACTCTGCACAATGCAAAACGATAATTCTTGTTTTATTTGTATGTTTATCAAGGGTTTGACAAAAAAACTGATGATCTTTGAATCATGGCTTGATCTTACGTTATTCTTACTGGTTATAATTCGAAATGACGATAATAGGGAAGCAACTTTTTTCTCAGTCTTTTTTTCTTCTATTATTCCATGCTCACAATGTCATGCTGTCATCACTTCCACAGATTAGAAATATTAATCGTTCAGGACAAATAATTTTGTATATTTGTGAAAGTACAAGTAAACCCCGCGTGCCATCTCCACTTGTATTATTTTACACTGAAGGGCGCTGCACGCACCTTAACATTCATAATACAAATTTAATGCGAGTGGAGGCGCCCTATGAAAATTGGCACAGATTGCTCATGCTACGGATATAACCTATTTGCCCAATTGAGTTTCAAGGGGAGAAAAAATGCATCGAAAGTGTTGGGGATGGAACCACATTCGAAGGCGAATTTAGAGTATACACCTAACACGAGTTCGCCATAGTATCCCACGGAAGTTGCGTCTGGTCCCGTAGATTTCATTGGCACATAGTGTTGGCCTCCCATGTTAACCCAGTTTAAAGGGTAGAGGTCAAAAAGTGAAAAAAGTACAAAGACCACCTTAAAGTGGGTAAACCTCCCTCCTCAACCCCAAATCAATTGCATTTTTGGATTCCTCGTCAAAAATTAGCTACACCTTCCGAACATCAGTTTTTGATAAAACCCTTCACTGTGGCTCAAATCATCTCTGAATGTGCAGTGGGAAAAATTTATATTTTTCTATACATTTATACGAATTTTTTTGCGTTTTTTCGGTTTTTCTCCCATAACTCGTACCATATATGCGATGGAACAGAACTTTGTTCAGCAAAGTCTTAGATCTCGTTGGAACCTACAATTTTGCCGCAGACAGTCGTCACTTATCTATCATCAGTAAGGAGATAACAGTGATAATTGATAAGAGCTATGAAGGTCATTATCTTACATTATCTAAACACCGGGCATTTCAACTAGCGACTGCAGTACATATACAAGTATAGGAGACGACTGCCGCATTGGCTTACGTTAACGTATTGATATAAACGCTGTCATATGAGCTCATACGCGTGGAGGTTTAGTTGTCAAATCGAACCAAAACAAAACAAAACGAACTTCGCGACATAAATTGTTTGTCCGCGATTTTTTTTCCATTTTGTACCAAATTCAACTAATTTTTTATTAGTTGTTGCCCTCATTTGTATAGAGGTAAGTGCTGGTGATTGGATTTTACCAAAAACACGATTATCAAGAACTTGGATTAAAATTAGTGTAAATAATTTACTGGATGAGTTTAAAACCGTACACAATTTAGCTTCATAGTTTTGGTGGAGTGATTCATGTTTGTCCAATTTTATACACATTTTTAGACAAAATTTAGCAAAAATGTCTTTTAAAATCGGTAAAAAATATGATGAACACATAAACATCCAGAAATTTGATGATTTTAACCAATTGTGAAATTCAATTGCTATGCTATTGGAAGTGTATTTGAATTTCACAATAGCCTGAAATCACACACACGTTCTATCTTCAGTTAGCAAATGG